TAATCTTCGACAAAGGAGCTGAAGGCCTACAATGGAGAAAAGAAAGTCTCTTCAACAGATGATGCTGGGAAAACTGGAAAGCCACATGTAAAAGAATGAAAATTGACTATTCTTTTTCACCATTCACAAAAATAAACTCAAAATGGATCAAAGCCCTAAATAGTAGGCCTGAAACAATAAGTCTTCTAGAAGAGAATATAGTCAGTACACTCTTTGACATCAGTTTCAAAAGAATCTTTTTGGACACCATAACCCCTCAGACGAGGGAAACAATAGAAAGAATAAACAAATGGGACTTCATCAGACTAAAGAGCTTCTTCAAGGCAAGGGAAAACAGGATTGAAACAAAAAAACAACCCACTAATTGGGGGAAAATATTTGCAAGTCATATATCTGACAAAGGGTTAATCTCCATGATATATAAAGAACTCACACAACTCAACAACAAAAAATCAACCCAATCAAAAAATGGGCAGGGGACATGAACAGACATTTCTCCAAAGAAGATATACGGATGGCCAATAGACACATGAAAAGATGCTCACCATCACTAATCATCAGGGAAATGCAAATCAAAACTACACTAAGATATCACCTTACACCTGTTAGAATGGCAAAAATATCCAAAACAAAAAGTGACAAATGTTGGAGAGGTTGTGGAGAAAAAGGAACCCTCATACACTGTTGGTGGGAATGCAAACTGGTGCAGCCATTATGGAAAACAGTATGGAGATTTCTCAAAAAATTAAAAATAGAAATACCTTATGACCCAGCTATCCCACTACTGGGTATCTATCCAAAGAACTTGAAATCAGCAATTCCAAAAGTCCCATGCACCCCTATGTTCGTTACAGCATTATTTACAATAGCCGAGATGTGGAAGCAACCTAAATGCCCATCAAGTGATGATTGGATAAAGAAGATATGGTATATATATACAATGGAATACTACTCAGCCATAAAAAAAGATAAAATCATCCCTTTCACAACAACATGGATGGACCTTGAAGGTATTATGTTAAGTGAAATAAGCCAGATAGAGAAAGACGAACTCTGTATGTCTCCACTCATAGGTGGAAGTTAAACATAGAGACAAAGAGAATTGATTGGTGGTTACCAGGGGAAATGGGGGGGGGGGGGTGAGGGCACAAAGGGTGAAGTGGTGCACCTACAACATGACTAACAATAATGTACAACTGAAATTTCACAAGGTTGTAAACTATCATAATCTTCATAAAAAGTTAAAAAAATCAGTCTGACATTAGGCAGTAATTTTAGACATCTTTTTAGATAGATGGATGGATTGGAGACATAGATTGCATTATTTTTATATAAATGTGTCCAATATTATTGATGCTACTTATTTACTCCTTTATTTACAAATTGTTTTATCTCAAAAAGGAGTTGGAACAGGGAAACTTTCATTTAATTATTTTATTTTTTTGAGGATCACGTAGGTTCCTCACCACTTTTTACTATGAAAAACTTCAAGCATACAGAAAAATGGAAAGCAAAGTACAGTGAACACCTGTATACACACCACTGAGATTCAGTAATTAACATTTGGCTGTATTTGCATTTTTCCCCCTAAACCATTGAAAGTGAGTTGCCAACATCATGATACTTCATTATGAAGTACTTCAACATGCCTTTCCTGAAATATGGATATTCTCCTACATGGTGCCATTTTTGCTCTTAACGAACTTAACAATGATTTCCTAAAATAATCTAATACAAAATCTATAAGCATCTCAATTGTCCCCAAGATGTTTTTATGGATGTTTTAAACATTTGAATCAAAATCCAAGCAAGCTTCATGCAATGCATAGAGTTATGTCTTTTTAGTTTATTTATTCTAGAAAAGTCCCCCATCCCCCGCTTTCACTGTGATACTGACTGTTTGAAAAGCCTGGGCCAGGTGTGTTATAAAATGTCTCACATTATGGATTGTCTGATTTACTTTTTGAAGTCTCATTTAACTTATTTTCCTCTATTTCTTGACTGAAAGTTAGACCTAAAGGCTTGACTACATTCAGATTGAACATTTTTGGCAAGACTACCTCATGGCTGACCCCGTGAGCTTCCTGTGGGGTCATATTGGGGCGGTACCTCGGTTAGTCACACTGGCTGTGTTTGAGGGCTTATTTAAGATGGGGATTGCAAGTTGCGTGTGTGTATGAAATTTAGTTTTGACCGAATTGAATGGAGAAAAGAGAAATTAAAGTTCAACTAAAAGGATTGTTGACTTTCAAATATGTATTTCTTTCACTACAAGACTTAGTATTTCTTAAAAGATCCCTCTGAGATTGAGAGGTCAAGAAACATGTTAAAAAGTTGAAGTCATTATATTTATTTTGTAAACACATGTTTCCATTTTGATATTATGGATGACCTCTCTGCCATGAAAGATGAGGACACTGGCACACTTCTTCCCATCTCCCCTCTCTGTGTGTCGTCTTTTATCATGTAGCCTCCTGTTGGGCGATTGTCGTCCTGAGGTTGCCTGACTCTGCGGTGTTTGAATGATACAGCAATCAGCAACAGCCCTTTCACCACAGTGTCTCCATTCCCAAGTTCATTATTTTGATTTGACTTCTAATTGTTGGATTCCATTGTCAGGTAGTTTTTTTATGGAAAGTTCACAGCTTCTACTTTAATCATGTTGAACACTGTTTAACAGATTTTTCTGTAACACAGTATGCTTTTAGATCTGAAGATTTGGTTTATTTGTTTATTTTCCTCATGTCAAGGAAACAGATTTGTCTTTTATCTTTGAATCATTTTCTTCTCTCTTTACTGAGTTCTTCACACCTGACACAGCAGTTGGCCCTCTGCGGTGGTATTTGTCTTCCATGTCTGTTTATCTTTGAGAACTTATCTTTTTCATCTGCATTTACTGTGATTATATCCAGTGTTGGTAATTCCGTTTTCAGCAGTGGCCATTTAGTTCCACGTTGTTTCTAAATTATTCATGTGGCAGTGTGTTATTTGGTCCTCAGTTGGTTTCCTTAGATCTGTATGCTTCCTTTTCATCTTGTTTGACTATTTTATCATCTCAATTTTGAGCTCTTGGTTTATTGATGTCTTCTTCTTAGTAAGGTGTTCTGTAGCCAGAAGCAATTATGAAGAGTTCCTTCTCTTCATGTATTATATTTTCTTCTAGGCTGGGCTCTTTTGTTATTGTTTTACTGTTTGTTTATGTTGTTGTCTTGCATGACATGGTAGGTAGTTTTCTCTGGGAAGCAGACTCTAAGATGCAGAGGAAGTAAATTGAGGAATGCTCTTCGGATCCACTCCTATGGGGGAGTGAGGGATGCAGGGTTAGGCAGAGGGAGAGGTTGGGCTGTACTGCGGTCACAACAAAGCCTGACCCAGGGGCTCTGGAGCTGAGATGGCTCTACAGAGTTGTCCTGAATGGGCATGAAGGGCCCTGGCCTTGATTCTCCTGCATAGACCAGTGATTGAAATGCAGGCTGCTATTAGGGAGAGGATGAGCTATTGGCAAGGCAGCTTCAGCTAAGGATGCTCTTGGGCAACTGGGGAATGAGTGCTTCAGTCCAGAAGGGGGTGTCTGGGTGGTACAACCCGGCATCCAGAGTTAATTTTATTCTCCTAGTGATATTGTCCAGACATTTATTCTGTTTTCTCTGATAAGGTAGATGGGTTCTTTATTGTCCTCTCACCCTAGCTGAAATGGGTATATTTCTCCCCAACAGAGAGATGGAGAGCTGAGTTTTTTGGTGATATTCCCCCTTTTTCAGTAGCCTCAGAGACTGTTAAGTATGGTGTGAGGTAGGGGTCAGGATGCTGTATCCAAATTACCCAGTGCCATTTGCTGAAAGACTTTCTTTTCCCTGCTGTCTTTACTGTCATGTTGATCGTGAATCAGGTGTTCCTATCTGTGTGTATCTGTTCCCATCTCTTTTCTCTTCCTTAGTCCTGTTGGACTATTGTTGTGCAAACACCACACTGTCTTGTTTATTGTAAGTTTAAAATGAGTCCTGACGTCCACTAGAGTCGTTCCTCTAACTTTGTTCTTCTTTGAGATACTCTTGGGTAATTTTTGCTCTTTGCCTTTCCTCTTAGTTTTAGGATCAGTTTGTCAGTTTCCATAAAGTACCTGCTGCTGTTTTTTTCAGAGATTGCGTTGATTTTATACATCAGTTTGAAGACAATGTGCCTCATTAGGATATTAAGTTTCCAATCTATGATCTTTATTTAGGGTTTCCTTAATTTTTAAAAAATGATTAATATTTTTGTTTGCAGAGTTCTTTCTTAGAAATCTTTTATTAGTTTTTTTCCTGTATATATTATTCAAAAAACATAGTAGAATGAATCACCATGTAGCCTCTGCCGTTTCGGTAACCTTGTTCCATTTATAGAGCTCCTCCACTCAACCCCACTATTTCCCCCCAGGTTATTTTGAAGCAAATTAAAAATATATCATCATATGCATGTCAATATGTATTTCTAAAGGATAAGAAGTTCTCTTTTGTTTTAAAAAAACACCACCCCAGTATCATTTTATACCTAAAAAAATAAAAGTAATTCCTTAATACCATAAAATATCCAGTTAGTGTCATTTGATGTTTTTTTGGTGTTATTGTAAATTATGTCATTAAAATATTCATTTTCTTTGTTTCTTGCTGGTATATAGATATATAAATGATTTTTTCATAGATTCATCTTGTATCCAGTAGCCTTGCTAAAGTTATTTGTTAGTTCTAATAACTTATCTGCAAATTATTTTGGCTTTCTGCATACACAACTGTATTGCCTCTTAGTATAATGGCAGTCTGCCTCAAAGGGCAGTTATAAGATTGCTATGTTTAGCAATGATCAGTTTAAAAAATGAAAAAGAAATGAACAAATGGAAAGTGAGCAAATTTGATGTTTTCATTGTCTAAGGCTTTTTGATAACTCCTGTCATTATGTATTATAGACTGTCTTCAAATTTTTGTGAGTTGCTCAAATTATTTGTTATTCTGTGTTCTTTGTAGTTTCCCATCACCAATGATTCTGGGAATTGGACAAGTAAGTGAAAAAAAGAAATTAACCTTATAATTAGTCATAAGTATAACTGATGAAGTTTTAAGAGCTTTTGTTTAAGACTGTGATTTACAAATGTATTCAGCTGGCAGAGGACCAGAGGATCATGGTACTCTTGGTGAAACAGCATGAAATAGTGACACGTTCTGTTCATTCTACAACTTAGGAATGGTTGTATTTGTAGAAAAAACAACTACTTATTTTAACTTTCTTAATTGAATTTAATTGCCCTAAAGCAACGGGCCAGAAGACTGAAAGCCCCGAGGCCTCATGGGTAACAGATGAAGGGGCTGGTGGCTGAGGTAGGGCCTGGAGCACAATTGCCCCACTTGAAGTTGCTCTTGATACTCAGTTTAAACCACCATGCCTGAGAGGAGAAGGGATGGGGAGATGAGGGGAGGCCCACCATGCCCTTATTGTCAGAACCCCAGAGTGTTTCCAAGAGAAGCAGAGAATGAATTCTTACCTCATATCTCTCAGTTTGTAAATGCTGGCACTGATTTCAGATTTTTATAAAACCCTCTCTGGGCCGAACAAAACATGTTTGCAGTTTGCTTCCTGCAGTTTGTGATGTTTGTTCCTAAGTAGAAGGGTGAGCTTTGGATAAGTTTTCAGACCAACCCCATTGGACTGTTGCTGAAATTTTCCGTTAATATTAATTTGTGGCTTGTTTACTCTTTTGGTCATATGCTGGTGATTTCCAGTAGACAAGCAGTAGTAGGCACCAATGATTTTTTGTTTTGTTTTGCATTAATTTATGGGGAGAACAGCTTAAAATTATGAAAATTGTATCTGTTAACTAAATTTTTAGCTGTGAATCTGGCAAAGACTGCCGTTTATATGATTAAGCATTATTCTGGTTAAGTGTTTTGCTAATATCTTATTAAGCAACATTGAGTTTTGCAACCTCATTTTCTTGCCGAACCAGGTTCGTGTTTGCCCACTGCCCAGAAAGCCAAACACCGAGACAATGAGATTGCAGCAGAGAGAGAGTTTACTCACAAGGCAGCCATGTGAGGAAGCGAGAGCATGAGCCTAAAATCTGCTTCCCCAAAAGTAGAGGCTCAGGGATATTTATGGGATGGGGGGCAAGGTGGTCTGAAATGTGGAGGGAGGTGATCGGAGGTGAGGAGAGGTGAGGTCATTGATGATGTACACAAGCATAGTCAGACTTCATGGCTCCATAGGATGCATGTTCACAAAATGGCAGCATTAGCACAATCTGAGGGTGGAGTTTTTAGTCTGTTGATGTCAAAAGGTCGCTTATCGGACATCTGCCTGGGCCCAGTTGATGAGTTGGTGGTCTCAACGGGCCTGAAGTGCACAGGGGGTTCTAATTCCTGAAAAACAGCTCCCACACCCATTACCATGGTGACCCAGGCTCCGGGAGATGTTATCTATAGGAGCCTAGTGGGAGTCAGAGAGCATATTGCCTAAGCAGCACAGTTAACAATGGGTGCATTAAACAGCTAAAGCTATAATCAGTAATTGCAAAAAGGAAAAAAAACTTTAGTTCCTAGATAATCATCAATGGCTGCTTGCCGGTTTCAATTTTGGGAGAAAATAATAATAAGGAAACAATATGTTTCCTTAAGTTCAAAAATATATTATTTTTATGTTTCAATGTGAAAATATGTAGAAAAAAGCACATTGAAAGATGAGTGACTATGTGGTCATGTGCCCTTTTAATTCCTTGAGGCAGGTCAACTCACTGGCTTGTACTGAATAAAGGTAAAGCCTTTCTGATTTGTAGTTTGCTGGAGAGAGAGGCCAGTAGACTTAATTTTAAATATTCGGAATTACAGAATATTTAAAATAAGTGTTAGTGTGTTTCTGTAAGAATTATAAAGTAAGTAATAAATACAGACTACAATTATAATTCAGGATGGAGTCAAATTATATAAATCTATCGTAAGTATTAAGTTTGTAAACCATTGGGATTAAGGTTTAGGATCATAATCATTTTGAAGGAGTCCTTAAAGTTTTGCATCCTAACATGGAGAAAATTGAGTAAGTTCTAATATTTGCATAGGAAGAGGATATTGACATTTTTAATTTTGTAATGATAATCCGGAGTATTTCTAATATACCTGGTATACTCCAGATGAATAGGATTTGAATGAGACATTTTTGCAGTACCAGCTAGACTGAGGAGAAAAGTAAATCCCTTTTAAAATTTGTTTTTTCTTAATTTGTCTTCCATGTTACAGGAATATTGGACTTTACAAAAAGTGCATTTGTGTGTGGAGTTTGCCCCCTCGCCCCACCCTCACACTCACTTTATGAGGGAAGGTGGCCGTATGCTTAGTCTGTGTGCAGTATGGTCCAGGCTCAAGTGGCCTCAGCGACTGTGATCACTCTGGTCACTTGGGGACACCATTCCTTTTCTCCTTCTGTCAATGTTCCTTGAGCCCCTTGAGAAATGGGTTAGAATATTTGGTGTTGTACTTTTGGCCTATGATCCTGATGGAATCCATATAGTGGCAAGAAAAGCAATTTTAATATTGCAAGAAATAGTTTTTTTTTTGGAACCTAAAAAATGGTTTTCTTTGAATGTATTTCTTTTTGATGAATCCGTTTTCCAGATATTTTGCTGAAGTTTCTCTCTCCCCTTTTCTTTAGATGGCAGCTACCATAATGATACTCTATGTGTCCAAGCTAAATAAAATAATTCACTTCCCTGATTTTGACAAGAAAATTCCTGTAAAGGTATGTAATGAAAAGTACATATAGCTATGATGGAAGATGTGAAAATACCATACAAATTGATCTTAGAGTACAGGTCCATTTCTGTATACACTGTTCTTCCTGACTACATTGGGTAGAAATGTCTTAATAAAGATTTTATATCATTCAGTTATCCATTAATGTAACATAGTAATAGTAAAAGTGTGTGCTTAGCAGTTGACATTAAGTAAATACTATGTGTCTTCTGAAATGACAAAGCCCTGTATCAAGGATTGGCAGGCTTTTTTGGTAAAGGAAAAGTTAGTAAATATTTAGGCTTTGTGGGCCAGACCATCTCTGTTGCAGCTATTCGGCTCTGCCACTTACCATGAAAGCAGCCATAGATGATATATAAATGAATCAGTATAAGTGTGTTCTAATAAAACTTTATTTATGTACCCAAGAGGTGGGCTGGATTTAGCCATGGGCCCTAGTTCGCTGATCCCTGTTTTAAGTTTTCATTTATAGCTTGATTTGATAAAAGCCATGAGTTGAATGAAAAATACAATTTGATATACAGTCATGTGCCACATAACTAGGTTTTGGTCAGCAGACCGCAGAAATGATGGTGGTGCCATAAGGTTAGTACCATAGAGCCAAGGTGTGCAGTAGGCTAATACCATCTAGGTTTGTGTAAATATAGTCTGTGATTTTCACACAACAATGAAATCCCCTAACGACACATTTCTTAGAACGTCTCCCTGTCAAGTGATGCATAACTGTACATAGAAATACATGTTTTTTTTCATGGTGGAACCAGAAACATGAGACCTGCCATTCCTTCCTGGGAATGTGGAACGGAGCTAACTTGTATTCAAGAGTGCTGGGTGCCAGGCATTAGGCCAGGCATTTAATTCTTAGAGCAGTCCCGTACAATGGGTAATGTTAAATTTGTTATAGTGACATTTGGATTTAAGAAGGTTAAATCAGACTGTCAGTTCCTTGAGGGTGAGGACCTCACATGGCTTGTTCACTGACATGTCTCTAAGGCCTGGAAAAATGCTGGCACCTGGCACTGGATTATTCATCAGGTTGACTAAGCACATGCTTATGGCATCAACAGGGCCATCTACAAAAAGAGAAAAACAAAATGTTGAAGTATATAGAAGGTATTAACCCAGTCATCATGGGAAAAATTGAAATGTTTTAAAATTGTGGAATTTCATCTCTACATAGAGAAAAAGGCATTATATCTGAATATAGTTGAATGAATAATTACCCTTGTAACCATGCCCCAGGTTGTGAGATCAGACCACAAAATCCTCCTAACCAGCTCTTCTGACTTTTGTAATAATAATTTTCTTGCTTTGTAATTTTTCTAAATTTGTTTGCATCCCTGAATTATATAGTTTACTTTTGCCTATTTTTGAACTTTGTATAAAGAGAATCAAATTCTATATATTTTTTTGTATCTTGTTGCTTTCACTTGTTATTATGATGGTAAGATTCACCCATATTGTTGTGTGTAGCTATATTCTTTTATTTTCATTGTATGAATATACTATAATTTACTTACCTGTTTTACGGTTTACGGTAATTTGGGTTGCGTCTAGTTTGGGCACCAGAAAAAGAAAAAGCACTGCTCTGAACGTACTTATAGTTGGATGTCAGTACACATATACTAGTCAGGTAAGGCTGCCATGGCTTGAACAACAGAAGTGTATTTTCTCACAGCTCTGAAGGCAGGAAGTCCAAGGTCAAGGTGCCAGCAGGGTTGGTTTCTGGTGAGAGTTCTCTTCTTGGCTTGTAGACAGCTGCCTTCTCTCTGTGTCCACATGTGGGCTTTTCTCTGGAGAAGAGAGTGAGATCTCTGGTGTCCCATCCTCTTCTTATAAGGACACCAGTCCTATTGGATTAGGGCCCCTCCCTTCTGACCTCATTTAACGTCAGTTACTTCTAAAGGCCCCATCTCCAAATACATGCACTGGAGGGCTGGAAAAGAATGAATATGAATTTTGAGGCGACACAGTTCAGTCCAAAACAACACATGCGCATGAGTTTCTCTGGGAGGTATATCAAGGAGTAGAATGCTGCTCCTGGGTGTGCGTATCTTCAGCTTTCGTAGACAATGTCAAAGTATTCTCCAAAGGGTTGTACCAGTCCACACTCCTGACGAAAGTGCATCACAGTGCATGTGGCTCCATATGCTAGCCAATTGTTGGTGTGTCGGTCCTTTTAGATTGTGGGAGTCTGGCAGGTGCAGTGACATTTTCTTGACTTTAATTTGCATTTCCCTGGTTACTCATGAGGTTGAGCACCTTTTCATTTTTTAGTGCCGGTTTGGATGTCTTCTTTTGTGAAGTACCTGTTCAGCACTTGTGCCCATTTTTCTATTGGGTTGACGTCTTTTCTTACTGATTCGTGTAGGAGTTTTTAAAAATATGTTAATGATAGTCCTCTTGTTAGTTATATGCAGTATTACAGATACATTTTCCCTCTCTGTGGCGTCTCTTTTTATTTTCTTTAGCATGTATTTCTTTATCATGTGTAGGAATCGTAATTTTAAAATAGTTAAATTTCATCAATCTTTTCCTTTATGATTCATCACTGTTTTTCTTATTTAGGAAATCCTTCCTTACTCTGAGGTCATGAAGATATACTTCTAGATAAAAGGTATTTAGGTCTTCAGAGTTAAGTTTTAATCTGCCTGGAGTTGATTTTTGTGTATGATGTGAGGTTAATGTCCAATTTCATTTTTTCCCCAGAGAGCACTCACTTTTCACAGACTCAGTTGACAGGTCTGTCCCTGGTGCTGTGCCACTTGGACCACGCCACTGTGTTCCCATGTGCCGTTCACATATGTGTGCGTCTCTTGCTGGGCTCTCCATGCGTTTTCATTGGTCTCTTTGTGTTGTCTGCACCATAACCACACGGTCTTAATTACTATAGCTTTATGAAAAAGTCTTGCGCTTTGGTGGAGCGAGTCTTTCCTCCTAGTTCTTGGTTCTTCACATTTCTATATGAATGTTAGAAGCAGCTTGTCAAGTTTCAGAAAAAATAACCTTTTGGGATTTTGATTGGGATTGCATTGAAGCTGTAAAGCAGTCTGGGATGAATTGATGTCTTTAAAGTATTGAATCTTTCGAATCCATATGTATAACATGGTATACATACCCCTTCTTTAATTGCCCTCAGTAAAGTTTTATAATTTTCTCTATAGAGTTTATTTTATTTATTTATTTTGAGGAAGATTAGCCCTGAGCTAACTACTGCCAATCCTCCTCTTTTTGCTGAGGAAGACTGGCCCTGAGCTAACATCCATGGCCATCTTCCTCTACTTTATACATGGGACGCCTACCACAGCGTGGCTTGCCAAGCGGTGCCATGTCCGCACCCGGGATCCGAACTGGCGAACCCCGGGCTGCGGAGAAGCAGAACGTGCGCACTTAACCACTGCGCCACCGGGCCAGCATGTAGAGTCTATTTTTTGTTAGATTTATTCTGAGGTACTTCTTTTTTTTTTTTTTGCCGTTGCATGTATATTTTAAAAATACATTTGGAAAATTAGAGGTGCTTATTTTTGTATTTCTTTTGTATATTATTTTTGTATCTGCAAAATAATGGAATATTAATTGTAATTTATTTGTAGTTTTGGATTTTTTCTAGATTCACAATCAGGTCAGCTGCAAAAAAATGACAATTTTGTTTTATTCTTTCCAACATTCTAACTTTTACTTCTTTTCACTTGCCTTGCTGTATAACATAGACCCTTTAGGACGATGTTGGTAGAAATAGTATTACTGGGCATCTTTGATCTTAGAGGGAAAGCTTTTAACATTTCACCATTAAGTATGTTGTTTGCTGTGGGTTTTCTGTAGATACCTTTTATCTGTGTTCTAGTTATCTTTTACTGCATAACTTAGTGACTCAAAACAATAATCATTGTATTATTTCTCACAGTTATTGTGGTTAAGGAATTCAGGAAGTTCTCAACTGGGCAGTTCTGGCTTAGGGCTTCCATATAGTTGCAAACAGACAATGGCAGAGCTGAAACAATGGTGATGCGGTTAGTGCAGCTGGGGGCTGGTCACTCATCTCTCTCTAACTGTAATCTCAGGTCTCTCCATGTGGTCACGCGTGTAGGCTAGTTTGGACTTCCTTACAAAATGGTAGGCTCAGGGGAGTCAGAATGGTTGACAGGCTGGCTGAAGTCTTCAAGGTGAGTGTCCCAGCAAGCAAGACCCAAACTGCATTCCTCTTGATGACCTAGCCTCAGAGGTCACATGGCATCATTTCAGCTGTGCTCTGTTAGTCGAAACAGTGCCATCTAGTTCTAAGAGGAAGGGACATAGACCCTATCTCTGGATGGAAGGGAATGTCAAAGGCACATTTTAAGAGTATGTGGGATGGGAGATATTAGCACAGCCGTCATCTCTGTGGAGTTGTCTGTTTCTCTTGATATTTCTGTCAGGTTTTTGTTTTGTCTTGTTTTTATTTTATGTGTTTTGAGGCTGTTTTGTTAGGTGCCTAAAAATTTAACTAGTTCAGTCTTCTGGGTGATTAAAGTGTTTAATTATATGAGGTGGACCTCTTCTGTTTCATTTCTTTTAGTGTTACCCTGGAAATTACAACAGGCACAGCTAACTTACCACATTCTCAAGTTGAGTAGTAAATGTATCCTTCCCTCAACAATGTAAGGATTTTTCCTCCATTTGCTTCTCCTCCCAACTTATATGCTCTCGTCAGAGCATACTTGGCTTGTCACCAAGTTCTTTAATATTCTATTTAAATCTCACAATACATTTATATTTTCTTTTGAAAAAACCCTTAGTGCTTATTTATATTTACCCACAGATTTACTGCTTCCTTTGTTTTTCTTTCCTTTTTGCATTTCACACTTTCCATTTTCCTCCTGATTGAAGTACCTCGTTTAGAATTTACTTTACTGATGGTCTGCTTAAATTCCTTTAGTTTCTGTTTGTCTGACAAAGTCCAAGTTTTTACTTTGTTTTTGAAAAATATTCTTGTTGAGGGTGGAATTCTAGTTTGGCAGAGCTTTGAAGATGCACCTCTGCTGTCCTCTGGTGCCACTGTTTCTCTCTGGGTTTCTGTGTCCCCTATGGTTTTGGCCTAGGGATTGATTCCTCACTATCTTCCCAGTTATTCCATGCTCTTTTGAAGGTTTTAAGTTATTTTAGCTAGTATTTTTAATTGTCGTCAGCTGGGAGATTAGCACAAATAATGTAGCCCACCGTTACCAGAAACTAGAAGTCACTATTGTTTTTATTTTGAATTATATATATGGAAATAGAGGCAACTGATTCTTTTCAATGCCTAAGACCCTGTGAAGTTGGAACATCACCAGCTGTGTTATTGTTGAGTGATTTGTAGGCTGTTAGCCAGAATGTTGACAAATAAAGGGGAAGATCCTCGATCTTTTAGCCTCTCTTCCGTGTATCTTCTTCCTTGAAGAAATATCCTGATCCTAAAAAATTCTATAACTTTTTTTTTGTAGATGACACATAGTATTTCAAAATCTTTCAAAGGATGTCTTGTCTGAGTTGCATGCTTAGTGTCTGTTTAGTGGAAAAAGAAATGTTGGACTCACCTTGATAGCTACAGACTGTTAGATCAGGTAAAAAGTTCTTAAAATTTATTGTTTGAACTTATGAAAGGATATGTATTTTTTCCACTTACAGGAGACTAGGACTTAATGTTTGTCTGTTCCTAACAATCTGTCTCTTGACAATCAGCAAATAATTCAGGAGCTCAGAGTTCAGTAAAGCTAATTCAAGTGAAGGGTACGGTGTTTGACTTTGGTAGCTATTTAATCATTCTAGGCATTTAAAGCAAATAAAGTAACTCCAAAGTAATTTGGCTGGTATACACAACTTTTTGAAAGGGTCACGAACTGTGTGACATTCCAATGAGAGATATGACCCTTTGCCTTTGTCCAGAAAAATGCATATAGGCGAAGATAACAGAAGTTTGAACGCCTCCCAGGCCTCCTGAATCTCATGCATAAACTGTAAATACCCATCTTCAACTCACCAACCCACCAACGGGAGAGGTGCTCTTTCAGAGCGTTCCTTTAGGGAAATAGTGTACTAATGTGGGCAAGGTCAAGATTTCTGTTTCTATCCAGCCCACACCCCCACGCCCTGCCCACCCGTGATTATGGATATCACTGCCCACCTAATTGTTTTGATCACATGGAGGAACTTGTGAATGTTGTTTGGATTCTGGAAAATTCACAGTCATTGCAGGGAAAGGAACTCAGAATGATTTGCTTAGTGATGGGGTGTGAATGTCACCATTTTTATATATGAAGGAAAATGCATTATTGGAGTTCTAAACAAATCTTCTTTCTTTTTTTAATTGAAGCTGTTTCCTTTGCCTCTGCTCTACGTTGGGAACCACATAAGTGGATTATCAAGCACGAGTAAATTAAGGTAGAGTGTGGGGTCGTGGGGGACAAGGTTCTTCCTTTGCTTCTGTTGGTACAAAAGACCAGGTTTGAGTTTTCACGATACTGCTTGGGCTACATATAGGAGAGAGTAATATTGAATAATTTAAGAAAATAAGGTAGAGTTTTTACTTTAATTTGATAATGTTTTTAGAAATGTTAAAAGCCAATATTTTTTTCCTTGTGTTTAAGCCTGAGCATACAATGTGAGATCTGTAGAAATCAAAATAAGGGAGATTCACTTACATGCATATGGTTCTGTGTAACTTCTGGTGTCGTCACAGTTTTATAAAAGCAGAATATTCTGTCAGATTTGGTGTACGTCAGATTTGGTACAGGGAAAAATAAATGACAGATGTTATTTTCAAGTGTGTGCCATACACTCCTGAAATTTGCATCTGTATTTATTTTAGGGTCCTTTGATTGACTGCTTTTATTAAAAGTAACTGTACAAAATGAAAATAGAAATGTAAAAAGACCAAGCCGTCCTTTAAATTGGAAAATGTGGTGTGAAATATGTAGCCTAACGAACACACATTAGGATCACCACCTTTGTGACAAAAACGTAAATAATGAGGAAATAAAGTTTGTGCAAAGGGTGACAGAAATGGAGGAAAACCTGTTTGTATGGCGTGGGTGGAGAAGGGGCAGGTTGGAGGTGGACCAGAAGGAGAAGGTGTGTGAACCTGAGAAATGTGAATGGAGGCCTGTCGCCTTTCACTCGTGTTTGGAAGGACAGGTTGTGGGTGTGAAAAACAACAGGTGAAATATTGTTTTTAGTTATATATTTTGGTCGGCTTGTTGTTTCCTTCTGCACGTAGGACAATCAGTGTTCCTCAGATTTGCTTTAAAGCGCCCTGTGGCAAATGTTGTTGCTGTTCCCACGTGTCCTCTTGGCCTGACTGCGTTCACCTGCGCTCTGGGGCCATGGCTTCAGTTAGCACTAACAGCTGCTCCCTCTCCTGTGGGGGTCTCTACCTTGCAGATGAGGCTTGTTTTTTTAGTGATCTTGGAAACATCCTTATTACACGTGTTCTAGAACACTTCTCTACATACAGTGCAGGCTGGGTGAGATGAGGGCTTCTCGGGTGCCATGGGGGCTTTCTGGGAGAAGAGGGGGAACCAGCAAATGACAACTAGGAGGAAGAAGGAAGGAAGATTGCTTATACATGGTGTCATGTGGTGTATTCCTCTATCCCTGTAGTTTCCATAAACTGGTAGTTGGTTCCAGAGGCTTGATCGGAATCAGGTTCAATTTTCCAGGCAATATCAGTTTATTGGTGATGTTGAGTTCTTTCTACTGCATTACCCCACATAATGTTTTATCTCATTTTTAATGATATTAAATTGATCAATTCCACTTTTTAATGATTTTAAGGAGTCAATCTTGTCCCTTCATTAGAAAGTTCCCCATCAATCTTTCACCTAAGGGTTTTAGCATCCATTGATGATCATTGTCTAGATCCATTATTTCATTACAAATTGCAAATTGGTGATTTTCTGACTATGTCACCCTTCCTGTGTGTATTGTCTAAACCTCAATAAATACAAACTTTCACCATTTCACACAGGAAAAGCAGGGTAAAACCTTTGTTTATAAATGTTCACAGTAATAAATTAGTGTCGTGTCACTTTCAATGGTGACCAATGAGAGTGGTTTTTTTGTTTCTTTTTTACTATCATTATGAACTCTTGAGTTTTCATTTATTGATACAGATCCTTTATCAGGTATGTGTTTTGCAAATATTTTCTCTCAGTCGGTGGCTTGTCTTTCCATTTTCTTCACACTGTCTTTCAGAGCAGAAATTTTACATTTTAATGAAGTACCAGTATCTTTTTTTTTGGTGAGGAAGATTGGCCCTGAGCTAAAGTCTGTGCCAATCTTCCTCTGTTTTGTAGAGGATTTTATATTTGGTGGGACACCACTACAGTGTGACTTGACAAGTGTTGTGTAGGTCTGTACCTGGGATGTGAACCTGTGAACCCTGGGCTGCAGAAGCGGGGTATGCAAACTTAACCACTACACCACCGGGCCGGCCCCCCACTATCAATTTTTTCTTTCATGGATCATGGTTTTGGTGTAGTATCTAAAAGCTCATCACCAAACCCAAGGTCACCTAGATTCCCTCCTATTCATTTTCCAGAGGTTTTATAGTTTATATTTTACGTTCAGGTGTATGATCCATTTTGAGTTAATTTTCATGAAAGATGTAAGACCTGTGTCTAGATTCAGTTTTTCGCATGTGGATGTCCAGTTGTTTGAGCACCATTTGTTGAAACAACTGTCCTTTCTTCATTGAATTGTGTTTGCTCCTTTATCAAAGATCTGTTGACTGCGTGGGTTTATTTCTGGGCTCTCTAGTGTGTTCCATTGATCTATTTGTTTCATTACTTTGTTTCAATTCATTAGAGAAATGATTCTTTTGAGGCTCAAATTGTACCATCTCAGGCCAGCGGGAGCCCCTTTCAGCTGGCCCCTGTATTCTGGGGGCTCCAGCAGTCTTTACTTCCTTGCTTTCTGGCACGTGATGTCCCAGGCTTATCTTGGACTTTTCCTGCTATTTCTCCAAGGATCCCCTGGCTATTTCCAGCGTTGACTGAGGCCACAGTCTGGGTGCTGGATATATTTTAAAGGAAGATCTAATACAATATCCTGATGAATTGCATGTGGGATATGAGAGAAAGAAAGGAGAGAAAGATGACTTGATGGTTTCTGCTCTGATGAAGTGGGGGAATGGGATTGCCGTTGATTGGGTCTATACCTGGCAGTAGGATTGCTGGGCCATACGGCTATTTTGTGTTTACGTGTGAGGAACCGCCAAACTGTTTTCCAAAGTGGCTGCAACACTTTATATTCCCACCAGCACTGTATAAGGGTTATAATTTGCCTGCATTCTTGCCAGATGTGTTGTTGTTGTTTTGATGATAGCTATTCTAGTGGTTCTGAGTTGTTCTCTCATTGTGGTTTTGATTTGCCTTTTCCTAATGACTAATGATGTTGAGCATCTGCTTATTGGCCGTTTATGTAGCTTCTTTTGCCTACTTTTTGATAGGATTATTTATCTTTTTATTATTGAGGTATAAGTCTTCTTTATAGATTCTAGAAACAGGTCCCTTATTATATATGATTGCAAAACTTTCTCCTATTTTGTGGCTTGTTTTTTTACTCTCAACAGTGTACTTTGAAGCACAAAAGTTTTAAGTTTTAAAAAATTTAATTAGTAATTAAGGTAAAATATACCTAACATACAATTTACCATTTTGGTGGACTCTCTTTCTTGAGTGTACAGTGCAGGGGCGTTAAGTATGTTCACAGTGTTGAACAACCATCACCACTATGTCCAGAGCTTTTTCATCATCCCAAGCAGAAACTCTGCACCCGTTAAACAGAAACTCCCCATTCCTCCTTGCCCTCAGCCCCTGGTAACCTTTATTTTACTTTATGTCTCTATGAATTTGCCTATTCTCGATATTTCATATAAGTGAAATCATATAATATTTGACCTTTTATGTCTGGCTTATTTTGATTAGCATAATATTTTCAGGGTTCATCCATGTTGTAGAATGTATCAGAATTTCATTCCTTTTTAAGGCTGAATAATGTTCTGTTGTATGTATATGTCATGTTTTGTTTATCTATTTATAAAGGTTTTAAATTTTGATAAAGTCTGATTTATCTGTTTTTTCTTTTGTTGTTTGTGCTTTTGATATTATATCTCAGAAGACTTTGCCTAACCCAAGGTAGTGAAGATTTACTCCTATGCTTTCTTCTAAGAGTTTTAGCTCCTCTGTTTAGGTCTTTGACACATCTTGAGATAGTTTTTTATACGTGGTATGAGGTAGGAGTCCAAATTCATTCTTTTGCATGTAGATGTTCAGTTGTCCCAGCACCATCTGTTGAAAAGACTGGTTTTTTCCCCATTGTATTTTCTAGGCACCCTTGTTGAAAAGTAAATGACTATAATTGTAAGGAGTTATTTCTTGATTCTCAGTCTTATTCCACTGATTATATGTCTATCCTTAAAACAGTACTAGGTAGTACTGATTACTGTAGCTTTGTAGTAGGTTTTGAAATTGGCTTTCTGGTTTCCTTGTATTTCCATATTAATTTTAGAATCAGCCTATCAATTTCTGGGGAAAAAAGCCAGCTGAAGTTTTGAGAGGGATTGTGTTGAATGTGTAGATCTATCTGGGGCATCTTAAGCCTTCTGATCCATGAACATGGAATATCTTTGTATTTGTTTAGGTCTTCTTTAATTTCTTTTAACAGTATTTTGTAGTTTTTAGTGTATAAGCCTTAGACTTCTTTTGTTAAATTTATTCCTAATAATTTTGTTCTTTTTTATGCTATCATAAATGGAACTGCTTTAATTTTCTTTTTGGGTTGCTCATTGCTAGTGTACAATTGATGTTTTTATATTCATTTTGTTTTCTGCACACTTGCTTAACTCATTAGTTCTGGTAATTTTTTTTTTTAAAGATTTTATTTTATCCCTTTTTCTCCCCAAAGCCCCCCGGTACATAGTTGTATATTCTTTGTTGTGGGTCCTTCTAGTTGTGGCATGTGGGACGCTGCCTCAGCGTGGTCTGATGAGCAGTGCCATGTCCGCGCCCAGGATTCGAACCAACGAAACACTGGGCCGCCTACAGCGGAGCGCGCGAACTTAACCACTCGGCCACGGGGCCAGCCCCAGTTCTGGTAATTTTTTAGTGGATTCCTTGGGAGTTTTTATGTATATGTCATCTGCAAATAGAGATAACTTTATTTCTTCCCTTCCAAACTGGATTTTTTTTTTTCCTAATTGCCCTGTCTAGAACCTCATGTACAATGTTGCACAGATGTCGGGGGGACAGCAAACATCCTCGTATTATTCCTGATCTTAGGGGGAAACATTCAGCTTTTCCTTTAAGTATGTTAATTATATTTACCTGCTTTTAAAAGTCATCATCTAAAAATGTTTTTTAGTTAATTGAAAATAATAAGACTTTTTTTTTGCTTACTTTGAAAAAGGCAGTTCAAACCAGCCTCATAAGACATCTTTAAGTGTGGATATAAAAAGTTCCTGAAAATTCTTTCCGCACCTGCTCTCTGGTTGTAGAGTCATTGATAATGTGAAACCCCTGCTCAGCTCTGGTTAGGAGGAGCTGGCCACTGTCCCTCCTGGCGAAGGGTCTGACTCTCCTTCCCCAGGTCACCATCGTCTCAGGGCCACTTCTGGAAGCAGATGAAAGTAGCCTCTTCTAGCCCTGACAGGCTGTTGGGCTTTGCATTGACCTGTGTCCTGGCATCTCTGGGTTTTGAGAGTGGGTGAAAGGTTCTTAAGTATTTTTTAAGGCATTGAATGTAACGTCATAACATACAGTTTGTGGGAAAAATCATCTGTAATTCTATCCTCTAATACACTTTTAAATATTCATTTCAGTCTTTTCCCCTATATAGAATGTACATATACAGCTGTAGACTCTATGTAGTTTTGTGTCCTCTTTGATTTATTTAATATTTATTTTAATATTCATTTTCCAATACTGGTAAAGTTTTATACTATAGAATTATATGTATAATGTTTCCTCAAGTGGGTTTCTCTTAATTTAATCATTGCCTGTTGTCAGGCATTTGGTTGTTTCTGATGTTTTCCCAAAGACCGCACTGCAGTGAACACTTTGTGCACAGGATTTTGTCTTTCCTTTGGATGATTACCTTAGGATACGTTTTCCAGCAAGAAATAATCAGGTCCAAGGTGAGGGACATTTAGTGACTGTTGATATGTAGTCCCAACTTGATTTGCCAAAGGGTGTGTTGGTTTACATTATGAACTAGTTTTAGCACAATCTTTGTAGTAGTTGGATAGTATGATGTTTTAAATTGCTTATAGGTGAAAGTGGCATGAAATTATTTAATCTCCTTTTCTTTTTATTATTTAATGTGATTTGTTAGTGGTATATGTGAGAATTAAGGTTAATTCCTTAAGTTTAATTTGGGAAATTAGTGGGCTTAGTTAAAAATGTAAAACATGTTAAAAAAGTACTTGTTGTCTGATGTTATTGTACTTGAATCTTTTCCTGACAGCTTGCCGATGTTCACCGTGCTCAGGAAATTTACCATTCCACTTACTTTGCTCCTGGAAACCATCATACTCGGGTGATTTTTCTTTTTCGTCTATTCCTGTGGTGTCCTCTCCTCCCTCCCCTGAATTATTTTTACCTAGCAAATTCTCAGCATCGAGTCATCTTTCCAAATCGTTGATTTGAATTGCTAGTAGCAGTTGTTTAAGGACAAATGTTTATTCACCTAAAAGCAATCTCCTGTTTCTATGTTTTCCTAAGAACTTAATAAGTGATTTTTTAATTGTAATTTTACATTAGACAAATAATACATATTTGTGGTAGAAATTTATAAAAAAAACAAGCACCCCAAAACAGATATAAACCTGTTTCCTGAGCCAGATGTAATACACACTGATTAGGAATACAGAGGGAAAATTGTCCATGTAGACATGTAAGATGGGAATGCAGAAAACCAGGGAAATCCATTGTGATGCAATGATTATAATGTAACATCAGAATAAGTTGATTTTATAGTGTTGGTTTAAAAGTTTCTCATGAGGATATTTAGGCTGACATATAAAAACATGATTCTTGATTTTGCTGTGAAGATTATATAACAATGAAATTTGGATGATGGCCCGATGTTTTAAGTCCTATATTGAATTTTATCTTAATCTTTGTAGGCTTGACATGAGTACACTCAGCCTAGACCTACCAGCGGTAGCTCTTCTGCATTTCATCCCAGCATCTGTGTAGTGAGAACAGAGAAATAAGTTTATAATTAGATGAAGACAACTGCTTAAGAAATAAAGTAAATTTGGTCTGGCACTTAGAGACTTTAGCGCTTTCTCTATGTAAAGCATTGTCCCTTAGATTTTAGCTATAAAGCTGTTAACAATGTCTATTTTTAGTTTGTTTAAAAAATATAATCCATATTTTTTCCTCTCTTCCTCTTCTCCTTATTTGTGCATCCATCCATCCATTTATTTATTACAGGAAACAGTATTCCGTGAACATCATTGTCAGTGTCTTTGCCATCATTCTTGGTGCTTTCATAGCCGCTGGGTAAGACTTTGGACTGTTTCTGCTCAATAACTTCTTTGTGTCTTTGACAACAGGCCCAGCCCCATCCTCGGTTTTCGTTTTCCATCTGGCTGCAGTTGAATTGAGCAGCCAAGAGACAAAGCTGTTGATGTTAGTTGAATCCCCAGGTGTTCTTGTGAAAGTCAAACCGGATTCCAAGTTGGCCATTTCTGAGAACATAGAAAGAGAGCATTACAAGATACTAATACAGCTTTTTCTTCATAAAAAGGAGTGAACTGTTTACTTTTATTACTGAATGTTTGTCTTCAAAATAAAAAATTTACTTGAAAAATTCTTAGGCATTTGATCAAGCAGAATAACAGATTTATAAAGCCTTTGTATAAGGATTTATTTCATTATCCTGTGATGCCTTAGCAGTCATTATTTCCAAGGGTGGAATACTCTCAGGACCTGAGCCAATACCAGTGCATGACTACTGTCTTATCCATTGATCTGCAGGACCAGGAATGCAGACTCCAAGTTTGCTTTTGAAAGCAGGCACTCAGACTCCTGTCTTGGATAGCACAGTGGTTAAGGCACGCGGGCAGTTACATTCCCTGGGTTCAAACTTAGCCTTCCCTTGCCAGCTGTTTCTCAGCCTCTCTCTGCCTCAGCTTCCTCATCTGTTAAGATGGTAACAGAAAAGAAAAACCTACCTGAATAAAGGGAAGAAAGAAAAGGTTGGAGGAATTTCCGTTAAATTGATTTCCTTAACTCTTCAGAAGCAAGAGTTCTGGATCATTAATTACAAATTAAATAAGGGTGTAGGCCACAGAGCCAGGCTGTCTGGATCTTCGTCTAGTCTCACTCACTAGCTAATAACCAGGCACAAGCTATTAACCTCCGTGGGCCCCAGTTATTTCAACTGTAAAGTGGCGATTATTCTAGAATGGCATCCACCTACTTAGGTCATTGTGAGAATTAAATGAGATAATAATAAACTAGGGTTTATGCTGGTATGAGGCCAAGTTCAACAGAAACACATTGAACATTTGCTGTATGCTGGGCATTGTTCAGGTACTGGGGAGTCCAGCAGTGAACAAAACAGACAAGAGTCCTTGTGTTCACGGAGCTTACATTCTATTCAGTGGAGACAGACAGTAAGCAAAAGAAATGTTAAAAAATATAGCATGCTGGATGGTGACAGATATTAGCAAAAACAGTGATGTTTCTTATTATTATACAGGCATGTAGTCCCTGGCCTAGACTAAAATTTGTAATGTATGTTTTCTTTTTTTTTTCTTAATATCTTTTCTTCCTTCCTTCCTTCCTCCCTCCCTCCTTGCCTCCCTTTTATTGCAGTAACATTGGTTTATATGTTTAATCATTATATTTTATCATTTTATTTTGATTTCTGTGTAGGTTACATCATGTTCACCACCCAGAGACTAAGTACAATCCATTACCACACACATGTGCCTAATCACCCCTTTCCCTCTCCTGCCTCCCCTTTCCCTCTGGTAACCACCAATCCAATCTCTGTTTCTATGTGTTTGTTGTTGTTTTTATCTTCTACTTATGAGTCAGATCATATGGTATTTGATTTTCTCCCTCCGACTTATTTCGCTTAGCGTAATACCCTCAAGGTTCATCCATGTTGTCACAAATGGCCAGATTTCATCATTTTTTATGGCTGAGTAGTATTCCATTGTATATATAAACCACATCTTCTTTATCCATTTGTCCCTTAATGGGCACCTAGGTTGCTTCCAAGTCTTAGCTATTGTGAATAATGCTGCAATGAACATAGGGGTGCATGTGTCTTTACACATTTGTGTTTTCATTGTAATGTATGTTTTCATTCGTGGCTTCCTCTTCCCCAGTCCTAGCTGTGGCTGAGTACAGCCCCTTGAAGGCTGGCCTCCATGCTGTCGCTCTGTGCTCCGTCTTTCTGGTATGGTACCAGTGTAGACGTTACAGCACTTAGAGCCTGTTTTCGTCATGAAGACTTTGTTCAAATGAAATTATATGAGTAAAGTAGCTAAAAAACAGTGGTGCTCTGTTGAAGGTGCCTTCCTCCCATATGCTCTGGGTCTCCCCTGGGCAGCCTCTCTCTTTTAGGTTTCTTAGTGCTCAACTTGGAAACCACTGACTTAGAGCCAGTTGAAGATTTGTAGAAAACATGGTTTATAAAAGTATCTAAGTGTTTGGTTTGGAATGGCCCTTCAGATGCTGGCTATGTGGAAGCACTTTTCTAGAACCAGTCCATAGAAATTAACATATGTGACACTTGAATGAGCTGAAAGGGTAAATAGTGTTTCCTAAACTTTTACCCAAGAGCCGTCTTGGAATGGTAGTTCTCGACTTTCCCTTCCTCAGCACCCACAGAATGGAACTGTCCTGGTGGGTGACTAGTACAGTTCTAGCTGCAGGCCAGCTGTGACTGCACCCTTCTCTCCTCTGAGTCAGGTTAACCTATTCAAATGCAGGTAACTGCAGAATGGACTCAGTTGGATGAGTTGGTTTGTGCTCCTGTAACAAACAGCCCGCATGTCTCAGTGGTTTCACATACCACATGTATTCTGCTCACACCACACATGCAAACCAGCATTGGTGAATGCTGCGGGGGTGCTCTGCTCATCGTAGCTACTCAGACCCAGGCTGATGGAACTCCTGCGTCAAAGGGGACTTCCTTACACGTCCGGGTGGGAAGAGAACATGGGCAATCGTGTACTGACTCTTCAGGCTTTTGCCCAGAAGTGACATGTGTTACTTCCTCTTGCATTTTGTTTGACAAAGCAAGTCGCATATCCAGAAAAAGTTGAAAGAGAATGTCTGTGAACGGCCCTGAATGACAACCACAAGGCTTAACCATGAATCTGCTCTCACTTATGAAACAAGTAAATTCCTCTCAAACTCTGTGCTTTCATGACTGGCCTAAACAGATGGCTGTTGGGAGCTCTTGGCCCTGAGGGGGAGGGCTGAGAACTCTGGAATTCCCCTCGGCTGCGGGGAGGTGAGCCGTGCCTCCTTTCCATTCCCCTAGAAGCCGGGCTTTTTCTGCTTATTCAGCTCTTTCCATTTTCGGGAATAGGAGACTTCCCGCTCAGCCCAATGTGGGGAGGCGAGAGGTTTGGAAAAGGTTTTTTTTTGAGAGATTCTATTTTTGTGATTGAGCTAGTGAATTCTGAGTCATGAGGATCTAAACTTAATTTACGTCCTCACAAATATGCTGGTAGATGATAATGCTAGTGGAGGCCTCAAGCAAAATCGGGTTTAATTTGTGTTCAGATTTTGATGCAATTTTTGCCTATTTCCTTCTCTTTGATTAGAAATAATCTTATTTTGATATTGAAGGGATCAAAATATGCCGCTTTGGCATAAGCATTATTTTGAGCTGAAGGCACTTGACACTTAACAGATGTGGGAAGAGTTCTTTGCCCTTCCCTTCTCTGCCTAGAGGCAGACCATAAATTTCCCTTTGTGAAGGTGTCCCCCTCTCCCGCACCAGGAATGGGAACGCAGTTCCTATCACCCAGGACAGAGTCTGCATAAACAAACTTCACTAAAATAACCCTTACCTTCCATTAGATTCCCCCATATATTTCCTAGTCCCTTGCCCATAATTTATTTGTTCCTCAAAACCCAAACCTTCTTCTTTGTTAAAATGGCATATAAGCCCCAGAGTCTAACTGCTTCTTTGAGTCTTACTTCTTTTCTGTGAACTCCTGTGCATGTAAGATATTTAATACAATTTGTATTCCATTTTTCCCATTAATCTGTCTATTGTCAGTTAAATTTGCAGGCCCCCATGTAGTGAGCCTAAGAGTGTGGAGGTAGCATTCCTGACAGTGTATGTTTATGAGTTGCGGTGTGGGGCTATACTGTCTGCAAGGTCAGGTGCGGGTGCACAAATCCTGCCGTGGCCCAGCTGTTGTTGTGTCTTCTCCCAATGCCTTATCCCCCCAGACATTGTCGTACTAGTGTTATTTATTTAAAAAGGAAAGCAAAGAGAAGGTGCTTCAAAAGAATGGGAAGAAGGGAGCCTGAGAGGAGTTGCAGAGAAGGAATGGATCCCTGCCTCGCCTTGTTCATGGGCAGGGTGCTAGGGGTGCTGGTGGATGAGGTGGCTATTTGGGCACCAGATGGAGGTGCCAGTTCCTCATTCACCCCTACTGCCCCTCACTGCCCAGCTGTCCCCACACGGCTGTCCCCTGGGGATGCCCTGTTTACTGCCATGAGCAAAGCCACTGAGTGGGTTGAACAAATTACTGCCCTTAGGAAAGCAGCTCCCCAATTATTATGCTGATTTATCAGTTAGCAAAGAAACAAAGGAAGATGGTTAATGTCCCTCTGGTTTTAAACCGTTCAGGATTAAGTTGAAGCCACCTGATGGCCTAGTTATGTTTTTGTCTGGAGGCAAAGCAGAGGAATTACCCATTCTCCACCACAGAGGGGGAAATGCGCCAGAGAAAGGGTAGTTACCGGCATCGCAAATGGATTTGATTAGGGAAAAATAAACAGGCCAAGCTGTGAGTTTCTGAACAATCCTCTTCCTCTTGTGTTCTTCCTCCCAGTTCTGACCTTGCTTTTAACTTGGAAGGCTATATTTTTGTGTTCCTGAATGATATCTTCACAGCAGCGAATGGAGTTTATACCAAACAGAAAATGGACCCAAAGGTACCAGATCTTCACTCCTATGGCTTTTAGGCTTTGTCCTCTGGCCCCTGAAATTACATGAAAAAATAAAACAAATTTGTAAGGTTGGCATGTCATTTAACTTCTATAATATGATCTATAAATTACTAATTTCTTTTCAGTTATCTTGTCTGTGTAGGTTCTCGTTACTCCTTGTCTTGCAAAGTTTTGGATGGAAATTAAGGTAGGAAGGGAAAAGATGCCACTACTTTAGGTGCACAATCAGAATATATAAAAAGAGGGTTATTCTGAAAAGCAAATTAAAATTAAAACAGGATTTTATGATTATCATCAATGACCAAGGTGAAGTCAGGGGTATTCTGAGAACAGCTCTGTTTTGGAGTCTGGAGACGTGGGTGACAGAAACAATACAGATTTTGCTACTTGTCATTGTGACTTTGAACCTTAAATTCTCCAGACCTCAGTCGCTTCACCTCTGGGATGCGGTGACTGGAATGGGTCATCTGTAAGGTCCTGTCCAGCAGTCAGCGCCTCTCCCGGTCGTGGGGGGCTGGTGGGCACGTGAGCCTCTCTTCCGTGTAGCTGCCTCCGTATGGAGGCCCCAGCCCTCCCCCCCTCCCCCAGCTCTTCCGGAAGCTCTGGAGGATGAGCCAGATGTCTGTTTCTTTGTCCCAGGTTCTTTGTGTTGAGTGAGGGAGCTCCCTCTGACAGGCAGGCTTACTTCTACGAGCTGTTTTTTGTCAGCACTGTTTTTTTCTGCATGACTGTTTTTTAATGGTGGCAGTTTTACAAAACAGATTTGTTGCTTTTTGAGAATCACAATGTGTCACCTTTTATGGGAAGTGGTGGAGCCACTTTAATGAAAAGTCAGCTTATGCAAGGTTGGAAAACAAGATGCCTGGTGTTTGAACCCTGCTGCTCTTTCACAGAGAGAGCAGATGTTTTTAAGGAGTTCTGTTTATATTAACATTTTTAATGTTCCTTATTTTGTTCCCGATTTCTCATTTTGAATAGCATGCTTTAAAAAAAAAAAATCAGTGGGGGCCACAGCCATGCTGTGGTAGGCATCCCACGTATAAAGTAGAGGAAGATGGGCACAGATGTTAGCTCAGGGCTAGTCTTCCTCAGCAAAAAGAGGAGGATTGGCGGTGGATGTTAGCTCAGGGCTAATCTTCCTAAAAAAAAAAAAATCAGTGAGAATGTTAAGAGATGGGTGGAACCTTGGAGGCCATCCATCTCCATCCCTTTTATCTGTTGTTTTTGTGTAAAAAAACACATTTGTTTCTGTGGGTGAGGGGTTTTCTTTGTCTTCTCAGGAGCTGGGGAAGTACGGGGTGCTCTTCTACAACGCCTGCTTCATGATTGTGCCCACTCTCGTCCTCAGCGCCTCCACAGGGGACCTGCGGCAGGTGAGCGTCCCGTCTGCACACTCTTAGTTAGCCGTCTTTGAAAATGTTAATGTTTAACCTTTGGTACTCGTGGAAATAAACATAAACGTAACTGGGGTGACAGGAGGGCACATGGAAGGAAGATGCTTGCCATCCCAGGCACAACTGTGGCCCTGTCCTCGCGTTGGCGTTTATCCTCAGACATGTGCGTGCAGCAGGAAGGAGTCACGGGAACTCCAGACTTGAAGCTTTCTGGAAACAACAACAATACAAATAAGAAAAATTTAAAAATGGAGTCCTCTCATCCCCCTTTGCTGATGTAGGGATCCTGGGAAAACTGACTTAGAAGGGGATTTTGATAGTTTGAAAAATGGATTTATTTATTTATTACCTTTTTTATGGACATTTTGAATCATACAGTAGAGAGAATAATTTAATGGACGCTGATGTAGCTGTCAGCTGGCTTTGACCTTTTCATCGTTTCACTATCCTTACTTCCTCTATCCCCATTCGCTTTCACTTTTTTTCCCCTGGAGTATTTTAAAGAAAATCCCAGATATCATGGAATTTTGCCTCTAAATATTCCAGGATCTACATTTGAATTTTGAGAAATGTTGTTCCTTTGGTGTTTGCCCTACTCGCCTCACCTGCTGCACACTCCTGAGAGATTAAGAAAATGGTGAATAAGTAGAGAGGTGGGGGCCCAGCTGGAGGGGGCAGAGGCCGTTGTCTCAGGAAGGCTCAGTGTTCACTCATCGTATTTGCCGTGGCCACCTGGAGTCTGCCGGCCCCTGCCGAGCCCTGCTTCTTCAGAGAGCTGCCGGCCACACCACCAGGAAGACTTTTGCCTGAATCTCAGGGAGATGTTTAAGTTCATGTGGGAAACTAGATGTGCTGGGCAAAATCCTGGTCCACTGTGGCCTCCACCCACAGAACCCGCCCAAGCTGGCTGGGCAGCCCCTTCTCAGTGCTGGCCCGGACTGGGGCTTTAGGCAGGCCAGTGCAGCAGGCGTTTACCTGCCATGGGCAGTATTTCTGTGTTCACAGTCAGCATGGTGGTGTGATGCACACTGGCTGAGAGCCAATCCCATTTGTAGCCTTTAGGGGTTTGGATGACTTTGGAAGGCTGCGGGCTCCTGTGCACTCCTGGGGGGATGTGAGGGTTTATTCTTCTTTCTCAAAACTATACTTTCTCACATGTACAATTCCTTTCTGAAAGATGGAGCAGCAGAAGGGCTTAGCAGCAGCAACCCCAGAGGTAAACAGCCATGTCCACATGTTTATACTGAAAACTACCAGGAAACACCAGTATTGATAAAGAACCCTCGTGTGTGACCCTGGGCCCTGCTATTAATTCAGAGTGTTGGAAGTGTAGGGGAGGAAGACATTTCCTCTACCCACTCTGGGTCCTTCTGGCTGGACAATGAATTAAATTCACATGAGACAGAATAACAGGAGAAAATCACACAAAGCTTTATAACAAGTATACATGGGAGAGACCCAAGAAAACTGAGCAACACACCAAAATGGCGGAAGCTCTCCCCTTAAATACCAGCCTTAACTAAAGACAAAGAAGGATGTTGGGGGTGGGGGCAGCCAGTTATAGGAGATTACCAGAAAAGCACAGTAAACAAGGGTAAGGTTATTGTGCAGATTTAAGTCCTTGCCTTCTGCATTGATAAAAGTTTCTAGAGGTAAGGTCATTCCTGCTTCTTGCTGGTACAGAGAGGGAGACACCTTCACAGATGGAGATTTCCCTTATTAATGTAAATGTCTCTTACAAAGGGTAACTTCTACTTCTCAGAGTTTCTCTCACGTCTGCAGTTTTTAAAAGTAACCAGCCCCAAATAATCCTCATGCCAAAGAGACATATCTTGGGGTGGCCAATTCCAGTCTCCCACAGAAGCTAGAGCAGGCACCCTACAGCTCTCTGGTAGTAATGAACAGGACATCTGAAAACACAATATTCATTTTTCAGCTACCGTCAATTGATTTTAAACCAATTCAGTGTCATTACATATGACATATGATGTTACATAAAGTGAAATAAAGAACCCTCAATGAAGTAGTCCTAGTGGCTTACCTCATTATCGTAGAAATGTGGGGTTTTTTGAAGTCACTGGAGTTCATCAGTTCTGAAATTCTGGTACTTTATAGCTGTTTCAGCTATTTATTTATTTCCAGAAATAGATATCTAGAAACTCCTAAGAACTCTTAGAACACCTGATTGGAACTAAAACATATTTCTCCATAGGAACAATTTTATGAATGGCATAGTGACCAAAAACTGAATTTTAGGTACATTATGACTAAACTAGATGATACATCTTTTTAATAATTTATAGCATTGTTTTGTAAGAATATGTGTTCCCACATCCAGATCATTGACTTATGAACTTGTAGTGGGTGCTTCTGAAGTTGCTGCCTGCCTGTAATGATTATCACCCAGAATTATTATACTTTCTTATACGATAGTAAAAATAAGAGTAGCTGGTATTTGTTGAGGATTGTTCTATCAGACATCAAAGCATTGTGCATGAACTGTCTCATCCTGCTCCTGCAACACCCTCTGAGGAGGAGGTGCTGCTGAGATCCCTGTTCCCCAGAAGGAACCTAGGGCCCCACGTTTCAACATCTTCCCAAGGACAGTCGGTGATGGATCCGGGCAGTCGGCTCTGGAACACATCCTCTGCTGTAATCTCAGTGGTTTTATTTGTATATGAAAAGTGTTTCTTTCTTGCACGTATGAAAAACTATAACCTATCACATGTTGACGAAAATAATCCATGACCAATTTATAAATGAAAATTTGGGTGAGTTTATTCTGAGCCAAAATCTGAGGACCATGGCCCAGGGCCTTCCTTCCCAAAGGAAGGAAGGGCACCAAAGAAGTGGAATGTACAGAGTGGTTATATAACCCCAAAGAGGATGTTTCACAGATGATTGAAATGGCCCTTTTACAGTAGTCGTGAGGTTCCTCTGTTTGCACAGTGATTGATGGGCACAGCAGGTAGTAGGTCTGCTGTCTCGGTGGACACAGCAGGTGGCAGGTCTGGGTGGTCAGAGGTGAGTGCAGCAATCAGTTCCTAGCCTAAGGAAAGATGGTTATCCCTAAGGAAATGCCAATGGCGGGGGGGGGGGGGGGGGGGGGGGGGGCGGGGAAGTTGCACCTTTATCTTAAGGCCATTTGGTCTTGTATTTGGGACATAGCATATGCTTAAGCAGATGTACAATGCATGCTCAATGGTCATGTCAGGCCCTTTTGGAAAAAACAAGGTCAGACCGAATTAGGTTTACACCAAATGGCTTCCTCTTATACTCCAATATATCCTATTGCTTGCCATTTCTATTTGTCACACATGTATCTTAGAAAGTACAAGAGGCCTGGCATATACTTTAACGTATTAAATTGTGGTGCTCTAGGAGAATATTATGCTCCTATTCTGGCTGGTGGTACTAGAATATCTCAATATTTACTCTGTCTGACTTCTTCCATTTGACCGGACTCCTATGATTTCAAATAAAAGTTCCTATAAGTACCTTAGAGCCCTGGCTGTGATTATGGTTCACTGAAATTCCAGGTGGATCAGAGCTAAATATATAGATTTATTTAAAAGTCTCTAAGAAAAATTATAATTAGAAAAATGGAATATATTTATGACTGTAAGGAAGGCTGTCTGTGAAATGACAAAATACTTAAGTCAAAGTTAAAAACTCTATTTTAATTTAAAGCTCTTGTATGATAAGAGATGCCAAAAGATACGGGACACTTTCTGTAATGTAATCAGTAATGAAAATAAACTCTGTAGAAAAAATGGTGAGATTTTCCCTACTGACATTGATCCACTCTGTGTTCATTGAATCAGGACAAACTTCTTCAGGTGGTCACTTTTAACATGGCTGAATCCATTTTTAGATTGTGCACCAAATGCAATAAAGAGGCAAATTTATGTAATTAGTGTGTTAGGCTGCAATATAAAATTGCATTTTATTTGCTAAGTTTGGTTTGCTTGTACCAAAAGTTGTTTGATGAATTACAGTGAAATGTTACCTTCTCTCCTTAACAGAGGGAGTTCTTGGGTGAGTCGTTTATCCTGGTTGACTGGAGAGCACCAGAGATGGTGCTGAGATGCGTGTGTGTGACCCACAGCCCTGGGCTCACACCTGGACCTTGGCCTTAGACAGTTAGTAGATCTGGTAACAGCACCTGGACTCTGACAAGTCAGCGATGTCAGCAACTCTTGTTACCAGATGAGGCCCCTGGAAAATCCTCAGTCGGTGAACTTTGTTTTGTCATTTGAATCACTACAATAGGTTCAGTGTACATTTAGTGTATTACAGTTGATGAACAGGGACAGATAATGGGACTTTTTTTAATTAAAAAAATCTATAAATGCAAAATGAAAAAGATTCACACTCCAACATACTTTTACAGCAATGTAGTAAGTCTCCAAGAAGAATTACTTTATTGTTATTCATCTTTAATTATTTTCTGTTTTAAATTAAATGTCATGCTACATTATTTTTTAAAATGCCACCAGCACAGCCTCATCATTACTAAAGAAACAAAACTGAAATCTGTCAAAATTTAGATGGGCAAAGAATCCAAATACTTCTATGAAAATTACTAAATAGCGCTCAATGGTCTGTGTGGTATCAGGAATATATATATGTATGTTTACTGTTTATGTAAATGCTTCCAGGTCTTTGAGTAAATAAATGTTTTTCTACCCTTGGTTGAAGTTTCGGGCATATGGTTTTCTCTTGTTCCCGATTGTATTTTAATTTCAGACACAGAGTGTTTTCCATAGTTGTTGTTTGGTGTTTTGTTTTTTGGGTTTTTTTTTGAGGAAGTTTAGCCCTGAGCCAGCATCTGCCACCAATCCTCCTCTTTTTGCTGAGGAAGACTGGTTCTGAGCCAACATCTGTGCCCATCTTCCTCTACTTTATATGTGGGACGCCTGCCACAGCATGGCTTGACAAGCGGTGCATAGGTCTGCGCCTGGGATCCACACTGGTGAACCCCGGGCTGCTGAAACTGAGTGCTTGAACTTAACGGCTGCGCCACTAGGCCGGCCCCAGTTGTTTGGTTTTGATCTTCACCTCAGCATGAACTGTCTTGGATGTTTTCTGTTCCTTTGATTGGCTTGAGGCTTGCCAGTAAGACAGATTTATATTTACTATATTTCTTCTTTTACAAGTAAGCATTAAAGAAAAAAAGCTTTATGATGGAAACTTTCAAACCTATACAGAAGGAGAGAGAATAGTATAATAAACCCCGTGCCCCCATCAGCCAGTTTCAGCAATATCACCATTTAGTGTGTATCTTTTTGATTAGAGAGGGTGGGCAAAGTATTACTAATGAAACAAGGACAGTAAAGTGCGACAAGGGTGTCCTAATTGGAGAAGAGAATTCCATTTTAATTGGTTTAAAATTTTTGAATTATAAACTTAAAAAAGATTTCAATGGTTTTAAACATATAGTTGCTGAAACTTGGCTAACAAAGTATTACTTAATAGAAAGTGAATAGAACTTATATTTAATCATGTTATTTAGCACATAAAGTATAGTCTTGAGTCACCTTAAAATCATTTTTGGATGTAGGCAAGGGACAAGTCCTGAATAAAATACTTTTTATTGTTACCTGTCATTTCAAGAGGGTCAGTTTTATTTTCTCGCTAGGAACTAAGTTCTCGGAGAGCAGAAACTGAGTCTTAAACTTCTCTGTCTCCCAACTACTCCTCCTCAATTACTTGTTTGCTTTGTAAGTAGCAAATAATAGTTCATTTCTTCATGTTACTTTCTGAGCATTTGCAAATTCTTGAAAACAGTTTATGAATTTAAGGTTTTCTTAGTCTTGCCAACATTATTAATTTGATAATAAACTTTCCTTATAAAAAGTAAACCCAGGACCTGGCCTCGTGGCCTAGTGGTTAAAGTCCTGCGTGCTCTGCTTCGGCGGCCTGGGTTGCAGGTTCGGTTCCCGGGTATGGATCTACTCCACTCACCAGGCATGCTGTGGAGGCATCCCACATACAAAAAAATGGAGGAAGATTGGCACAGATGTTAGCTCAGGGCTAATCTTCCTCAAGCAGGAAAAAAAAAAGGGAAAGAAAAAAAAAAAAGAAACCCAACACTGATTTTGTGGCTACAGGTTAGTAAAGGGTTAATGGTGGCCACAGCAGCAGTAGCTGTAATTTAGTACTTGTCACCTGCAAAGTTCTAAACAATTCATTAAAGCCTCACTTTGACCTTTTGAGGAAGTTTTTAAAAATAATCCCTGTTTTGTAAAATGAACCTGAGGTTCAGGAAGGAAAAGTAATTTGCCCAATGTCACACGACTGGTATTACCTAGGAGTTTTTAAATTGTATTTTCTGTTTTGGGAAGTGGTTCCTGTATAAAATCTACCATTTCATAAAACCAATAGATTAAACTGCAGTATTATTAATCTAACCATTAGTTTTGTTTCTTTTTGATAATAGGCTACTGAATTCAACCAATGGAAGAATGTTCTATTTCTCATACAGTTTCTTCTTTCCTGTTTTTTGGGGTAAGAAACTATAGATAAATACAAGCTTTGGTCTCTGTTATTTCTTGGCAAGTCTAAGAAAAATATGCATTCTGTCTGTTCTGCAAAATCTCTTTGTCCTTCTCCAACTTTCTCTGGAGAGTGCCTCTGTGGCAGAGGAGTGGCCTGGGACCCAACGCCTGGGAGCGCAGCCTGGCAGTCCAGGAGCAGCACCAACGGCGCCTTCTCCAAACGAGGTGTTGTCTGTTGACTGCCGGAAGTTGGTCTGCAGTGAAGTCAGCTGACTATTGAGTTCAGGACTGTGTTTGTTATCTTTGTCACAATGCTGCAGAATTTCCGAGAGCCCCACTTTACATAAATGTGTGGAAATAACAGCCATTTTCTGTAGTGCTGTACGTGCCCTATTCAGGGAAATTTCTGAGGAGAGATGTCCAGGTCATTGTATTGCCCAATAATTTTAGGCTTTTGTTCTTAAAATTTTCCTTAGTTGTATCTTCCTGTTGAGGGGCCATGTAGCTTGTGCCTTTTTTTCTCTTCCTAAAACTTGAAAATTCCTTTTGATGAATAGATAATGCACACAACTAGGAAATAATCCAACAGCTGCACAAGAATGCACAGGGAGTGTGAGCGGCCCACCCTTCTTCCTGCCCTGCACGCTGCAGACTTATTCCTCAGGGCCCCGGCGTTTGGGGTCTCTGGAGTACACCTCCTGTGCTGGGCTCCCTGTGCACACAAGCACCCCTGTCTCATCCCATCTGACAGGGTCTGTGAACGACTGTCTCAGGGAATAACTTATGAAAAGATTTTTCCTGTGAAGAAGGATGAATTTCCACCTTACCTTTTTTTTTTTTAACCACTAATACTCCAATTTTCATTATGTGTAAATGAACTGTGACAACTCATGGTCTCTTTGATCGTTCTTCAATCCTCAAACTTGATTTTAATTGCAGTCATGTAGTCACTTACAGTATAAACATTTATGTATATCTTCCAGTTTACTAATTCTCTCTTTAGCCCTGTCTGATTTAATATTTAACTGTTGATGGACTTTTTGATTTTAACAATTTTATATTTTATTTGTAGAATTTCTAGTTTTGGGGGAACTTGTCCGTTCATTCCTAACACTCTCTCGTTGGTGATCTTTGTGACTGTTGTACCTTTTATTTCTTTAAATGTTACACACTTAGCTGTTCTATATTCTGTCTGATGATTCCAGTATCTGCAGTTCTTGACAATGTAAATCTGTAGTTTGTTGACTAAATATGTAATTTGTGACTGTCATTGTGCTTTGCTCTCATGTGTGTTTGGTGACCTGTGATTGTGAGCCTTTTGCTTAGTTTGAATCAGTCCTGTAGGCTGAAACTGGGAATTTGAGAGACTTTACTGCAGAGACAAATTGTTTTTGCTCCTGCTGGTAGCCAGGTGTTGCCCCTAACCTGGACCACTTGAGGCCTCTTTGAGGGTATGGGCTCAGCGGGCTACAGTGTCCCTCCCCACCTGGAGTTTGGCTCAAGGCTCAGTTTCCAGACAGCGTTGTTCTGCCATAGCCTCTGCCCTGAGGCAACCAGATCCTGCTCTGACTGTCTGCTGCTCTCACCCTCCCTGGCCCTGATTCCTTATCACTCTGTGCCAGGGCCTCCCTTTTTCAAAGACTGGATTTAGGGGGACTTCTTGTGCCTCTTTCAAGATGAAAAATCTGTTAAATAGTATGTCTGTTCCAGGTATTGGTTGTTCTGCAACGGAGAGTACAGCAGTCCCCCCTTATCTGTGGGGGATACGTTCTGAGACCTGAAACCAAGGATAGTACTGAACCCTATATATACTATGTGTTTCCCTGTACATACCCACCTGTGATAAAGTTTAATTTATAGATTAGGCCTAATAAGAGATTAACAACAATAACTAATAATAAAATAGAAAAATTATAACAATATACTGTAATAAAACTTACTGTAGATTTTAGCAACCTTAGCATATTTTATTTTATTGGGGTCATTAATAGTTTATAACATTTTGAAATTTCAGTTGTACATTATTATTTGTCAGTCACCATATATATGTGCCCTTTTACCCCTTATGCCCACCCCCCCCCAGCCCCCTTCCCTCCCGGTAACCATTGATCTGTTGTCTTTGTCCATGTATTAGTTTATCTTGCACATATGAGTGAAATCATATGGTGTTTGTCTGTCTGGCTTAGTTTGCTTAACATAGTACCTTCAAGGTCCATCTGTGTTGTTGCAAATGGGACGATTTTGTCTTTTTTATGGCCAAGTATTGTATTGTATAAATATGCCACATCTCTTTATCTGATCATCAGTCGTTGGGCACTTGGATTGCTTCCATGTCTTGGCTATTGTGAATAGTGCTGCAATGAACATAGGGGTGCATAAGTCCCTTTGGATTGTTGATTTCAAATTCTTTGGATAAATACCCACTAGTGGGATAGCTGAGTCATATGGTATTTTCTATTTTTAATTTTTTGAGAAATCTCTGTACTGTTTTCCATAGTGGCTGCACCAGTTTGCGTTCCCACCAGCAGTGGATGAGGGTTCCCTTTTCTCTGTATCCTCTATAACGTGTGTTATTTTTCATCTTGGTAGTTATAACCATTCTGACTGGTGTATGGTGATAACTCTTTGCAGTTTTGATTTACATTTCCCTGATGATTAGTGATGTTGAACATCTTTTCATGTGCCTGTTTGACATCCATATATCTTCTTTGGAAAAATGTCCGTTCATATCCCCTGCCCATTTTTTGATCGGGTCTTTTTGTTGTTGTTGTTCACTTGTGTGAGTTCTTTATGTATTTTGGAGACGAACCCCTTGTTGGATATATGATTTACAGATATTTTCTCCCAGTTGGTGGATTGTCTCTTTGTTTTGATTCGGGTTTCTTTTGCCTTGCAGAAACTCTTTAGTCTGATAAAGTCACTTTTGTTTATTTTTTCTTTTGTTTCCCTTGCCTGAGTAGGCATGGTATTCGAAAAGATGCTGCTAAGACCAATATCAAAGAGATTTATGGTTTCATGTCTTACCTTCAGATCTTTCGTCCATTTTGAGTTTATTTTTGTGTGTGGCAAAAGATAATGGTCTGCTTTCATTCCTTTGCACGTGGCTGTTGAGTTTTCCACAACACCATTTATTGAAGAGACTATCTTTTTCTCCATTGTATGTTCTTAGCTCCTTTTTTGAAGATTACTTGTCTGTAGATGTGTGGTTTTATTTCTGGGCTTCAATTCGATTCCACTGATCTGTGTGTCTGTTTTTGTACCAGTACCATGCTGTTTTGATTACTGTAGCTTTGTAGTATATTTTGAAGTCAGGGATTGTGATACCTCCAACTTTGTTCTTTTTTCTCAGAATTGCTTTAGCTATTTTGGGTCTTTTGTTGCCCCATATGAATTTTAGGATTCTCTGTTCTATTTCTGTGAAGAATGTCATTGGGATTCTGATTGGGATTGCATTGAATATGTAGATTGCTTTAGGTAGTATGGACATTTTAACTATGTTTATTCTTCCAATCCATATACACTTTATGTCATCATTGATTTCTTTCAATAATGTCTTATTGTTTTCATTGTATAGGTCTTTCACCTCCTTGGTGAAATTTTTTCCTAGATATTTTATTCTTTTTGTTGCGATTGTAAGTGGGGGCGTGGGATGGTATTCTTGAGTTCTCTTTTCTATTAGTTCATTATTAGGGTATAGAAATGCAACTTAATTTTGTAAGTTGATTTTGTACCCTGCAGCTTTGCTGTAGTTGTTGCTTATTTCTAATAGTTTTTTGATGGATTCCTTACGTATTCTATATATAAAATCAGGTCATCTGCAAACAGCAAGAGTTTTACTTCTTCATTGCCAATTTGGATGCCTTTTATTTCGTTTTCTTGCCTAATTGCTCTGGCAAAAACCTCCAATACTATGTTGAATAAAAGTGGCAAGAGTGGGCATCCTTGTCTTTTTCCTGTTCTCAGAGTAATGGCTTTCAGTTTTTCTCCATTGAGTATGATGTTGGCTGTGGGTTTGTCATATATGGCCTTTATTATCTTGAGGTACTTCCCTTCTACACCCATTTTATTGAGAGTTTTTATCATAAATGGCTGTTGGATCTTGTCAGATGCTTTCTCTCCATCTCTTGAGATGATCATATGATTTTTATTCCTCATTTTGTTAATGTGGTGTATCACATTGATTGATTGGCAGATGTTGAACCATCGCTGCATCCCTGGTATAAATACCACTTGATCATGGTTTATGATCCTTTTAACATATTGCTGTATTTGGTTTGTCAATATTTTGTTGAGGATTTTTGCATCTATGTTCATCAGTGATATTGGTCTTTAATTTTCTTTCTTTGTGTTGTCTTTATCTGGCTTTGGGATCAGAGTGATGCTGGCCTTGTAGAATGTGTTAGGAAGTGTTCCTAACACTTCTTCAATTTTTTGGAATAGTTTGAGAAGGCTAGTTATTAAATCTTCTTTGAGTGTTTGGTAGAGTTCTCCAGAGAAGCCGTCTGGTCCTGGACTTTTACTTTTTGTGAGGTTTTTGATTACTGTTTCAACCTCTTTACTTGTGATTGGTTTATTCTGATTCTCTATTTGTTCTTGATTCAGTTTTGTGAAGTTGTATGAGTCTAAGAATTTATCTGTTTCTTCCAGATTGTCCAATTTGTAGGCATATAGTTTTTCATAGTATTCTCTTATAATGCTTTGTATTTCTGTGGTAATTTCTCGTCTTTCATTTCTAATTTTATTTACTTGAGCCTTCTCTCATTTTCTCTTTTTTTCTTAGTGAATATGGCTAATGGTTTGTCAATTTTGTTTATCTTCTCAAAGGACCAGGTCTTAGTTTCATTGATCCTTTCTACTGTTATTTTTTTGTTTCTATTTCATTTACTTCAACTCTAATTTCCATTATTTCCTTCCTTCTGCTGACTTTGGGCTTTGGTCGTTCTCCTTTTTCTAGTTCTGTTAGGTGTAGTTTCAGCTTGCTTATTTGAGATTTTTCTTGTTTGTTAAAGT